CTCAGAGCTGGTGTCCCAAGCCAACTCCTAACCAACATGCCACTCGGCTGGCCCACATGATTATTCTTCATCTCCCAGCATTTCAAGCTGAGGTCAGCACCTGGCTTTCCCCCAATTTCTGATGTCACTGCAAGATGGAGCTTTGTGGGGTTCCCAGGCTCCAGCAGCCTCATCTTGGCTCTCCTTGGCACTGGGGTCCCCCTGAGCTTCTGCTTCAGACTCCATTTGACCCTAACCATACATAGTTACTCCATCAGAGGCTGTCCCATGGCATATTTTAGGAGGATTAGGGGAACTTGAGGCTTCCATTACCACACAGGACATGAGAGCATCTTAGGAATGCTTCAGGCCGACCTTCCATTACTTTTCACACTACCTCACAGACATTTTCATGTGGTGCTTACAGTTTAAGTTAGACATGGATTGCCGAAGTCCCAAGTGTGAGTAAATAAGACTTGCTTATTATTTTGTCAGTTTACCTAATGCATTTTCCTCTTTCTGGGATTTGCTCATTTATCACTCTCTGCTTTCCCTGCTTCTGTTGCACCTCTTTGGTTTGCCTTTCTCCAATCGCTCCAGTCGCTCAGGACCAGGGGGATGGCTTATAGCTTTTTCTTCCTCTTATTCTAGTCTATCTATAGCCTAGGTCAGCAAGCCCTTTGCCTGGTTGTCATGTTATTGAGAGCCTTGTTTCTGAACTATCATTCAGAGAAGCAGGGATAGCATTGTCTTGATGCTGTCACTAACATAGTAGCAAAATCTGAGACCACCAGGCTTCATTCTGTTTTTTTTTCCAAGATTTTTTTTTTATTGGGGAATTGGGGGGATGGGAACAGCGCTGAGTAATTGGAGGAAGGGGAACAGACAAGTTGCTGTCCTTTTGTTCTTCAGTCTAGTTGTGGAGGACGTTGCTTCACTGGCCCAAGTTGGCACCATCATTGCGCTCTTCCCTGGCGAGGCAGATCAGTCGCTGGCTTCTGGACAGCCGCTCATGCTGGCTGCTGGCTACACACAGTAGCCCATGGCAACCCACTGCCACAGGGGCTGCAGCCTACACTGTCGCCAGGTGACTCACGGCAGGCCGGCTCCAGGTTGAGCTGTTGTTCAGCATCTTAGCTGTAGAGGGCAGTGTCACTGGCCCTTATATGTGGGATCCAAACCGGGGCCCTCTGGCATCCCAAGCCAGCTCTTAACCATCGCGCCACTTGCCAGCCCCAGGCTTCATTCTTTACATGTAAAGGACTTTGGGGAGAAAAATCCTCCCTCACCACTAAATCCAGATTTTGGGGTACATTGATGCAAAATCCTTTTTCGAATGTCAATTTCCTTACATTTCTTTTATATCAGTCCTGATCTCCCTTTCAGTTCATGCACCACTGCCTAATGCACATGTCTGTGTGAGTGCATTCCCCTCTCTCTCTCTCTCTCTCTCTCTCTCTCTCTCTCTCTCTCTCTCTCTCTCTCTCTTCCCCTCTCTCCCTCCCTCTTCCCCTCCAGGCAGCAGAATAAACTGGCAGGCAGACCATGGAGGAGTAAATGTGGTGCATAGAAAGAAAAAACATAAAAGCACGTTGACTTTTTTTTTTTTTTAAGTTATAGTAATTCTGGTTTTCAGAACTTGCCTTGCATGTCTCAAGAACTTTGGCCAGGTTTTAGTAACTAGCTAGTGTAGTCAGCAGGTTGCTTTCAGCTTCACTGCCATTTCTTTCCCCTTTCCTGGCCTAATCTGTTAGAATTTACATTATTTTCCATATCCAGAGCCAACTCTGTGCCGCTCTCTCAATCTCTCTACCTTCAACTTCCAAATGCTAGAGCACCTGTCTCCTTACAGGTCTAAGCGCTTCTCGTCTCTACTTCCGCCATCATTGTGTTGCCGTCTCAGTGCCTCAATCCTGTTTACATACATTCATCTGAATGGAACCATCCTTGCTCTTTTTCCTTCCTTTCCAGCCTCTCAGTATCCCACTCCATGACAGGAATCACTATCAATTGATGGAATCAACCATCCTCTCTTACCTAGAGTTGTTTCTTACTGTCAGGAAGTCTTGCAGCAATTGAAATCAGAGCTCTCATATGAAGGTTATTTTTTGGATGCTAACACTAATATAGGGAAAGGTTGTGGGCAATCTCTCCAACCAATAAGAGGGACATAAGGGGAAGAGAAATACTTTTTGCCATTGAAAATGGCAGAAAGTGGATTTGGCAATCTCTTGTACCTAAGGAGAGCTTATTAGCCATGTATTTTTTTTTTAACCATTGGAGCTATTATTAAAAAGTAACCAGCAAATACATATGGGTAGTTTTTGATGGCTAATTTTGGTAGTGAATGGCCCTGAAACACCATTTGGAATGCAATATCTTGGGAAAATATGCTTATAAATTGACTTATAAACTTTTGGGGATATAACCTTGCTGTGGACTGAATTGTGTCTTCCCCCCACCCAAATTCATATGTTGAAGCCCTAACTCCAGATATGATTGAATTTGATAGGGCTTTTAGAAGGTAATGAAGGTTAGATAAGGCCATAAGGGTAGGGTCCAAATTTGATAAAACTGGTGGCCTCATAAGAAGAGGAAGAGAGACAGATCTGTCTCCCTTTACATGCACTCACCAAGGAAAGGCCATGTCAGGACAGAGACTGGAGGCAGTCATGTGCAAGCCGGGACGATAACTGAACCAGAATTTCAGACAGAAACCGCGTTGGCTGGCAACCTGAACTTAGACTTCCTGGACTCCAGAACTGTAAGAAATTTCGGTTGTTTAAGCCACCCATTCTGTGGTATTTTGTTATACCAGCTGGTTCCAAGACAAACCTGTTCATCAATTCAGAATCGAATACAATTACCCATTTAAAATAGATTGTATTCACAAACCTTGATCATTATTGCTGTTTCGCTATAAATGAAAGCTACATAGGACATAGATTGAAGTGGTATTTAGGTAAAATGTTTTTCATGTTCAAATATAATAAATGGATGATAAATCCCATAGAGTCACCCATTAAGTCTTTTGGAATTTATTGATTTGTTTATATTTACCTGCCTTCTCAGTCATTTTAAATCTGATTAAGGAGGACTGTAGCTCTGTAATGGTTGAAAATTGGTTAAAAACTATGCAATGCAATGTAAATGTTGGTGTTTACTTTTTGACTCATGCAACCATCTTCCACACAGGTATAGCCACATGAAGCTCAAATAATGGTTTGTATTCATTCAGTAAAATATAAAACTTTCAATTTAGAGGGCAGATGATTGGGTTCTAGTGTCCATTTGATGATCCCTGCACTTTTTAGCTGATAGTGTTGACCATGATGGTGTTGACTATGACACTGGCTGAATGTCCTTAGAAAGCAAAGGTTATTTCAGGAGTATGGTAGAAAGACATAGGCTGGTAGGGTCAGAGGTCAGTGGGAGAGTTTATGGACCAGCTCAGTAGGCGTTCTACACCACAGTATGCTCATGCAGTAAACACTTAGTAGGCCTCTACTATGTGCTAGTCTTTACAAGTGTAATAGCAGCACATTATAATAGCTAACATTTGCTTGTCACTTATTTTCCTCACCAAAATCATATGAGGATGGTACTCTGAAAAGATGCCATTTCACAAGTAAGGGAACCAAGGCACAGAGACAGTCATTCATTAATTAGTTGCCTAATGTCATTCAGGTTCTAGTGGTAAAGCCATAATTTAGTGAAAACTCAAACAATTTAATTCCATTATGCTGTTGTTGAAAGGACCTTATTTTTCTATTTATTTATGCATTTGTTTATTCTCCTTTATTTTTATTTATTCATTGTTCTTGACAGAATTTAAGTTGGTAAGTTTCTCGTGAGAAAAGGCATGTGAAAATGCTTAAACACTTAGTGCATTGTAAATATGTGTTATTGTTATTTATTGTATTTGTTTCATGTCATTAGGCCTCTTTAATTCTTCTTTTAAAACAAATCTTCGTTTTGAGTGGGATTTCCCTTCTTTGACCCATTTGAGAAGTCTTCATATTCACAGTTACAAAAAATTTTATTGTATTTCGTAGTGCTCGAAGTAATGTATGTGTCCTAAAATTAGAGACTTCTACCATTTGATACTGTTATTTTACATATTATGAAATATACATAAAAAATATGTAACATATATGATAATTATAAACCAGTACTATTGCACTTTTCTTGTCCCTGTTATACATGTTCTCTTACTGCATGCATGAGAAAGAGTAAACAGCATTTTATAAAGAAAAATTCAAAATATTGGTTCATGCTTTGTTCTCTAGTATGGAAGCGACCATGTATTTTAATGGCCTCTCCAGTTTTAATAATACCATTTTGCACTAAGACTCCTGTACTAAAGGTTAAAATTTTTAACCTCCTACTTTGAAAATCAAATTGCTCCTCGCCATTGAATGTTGTGAATGTGTAATGTTGTGAGTGTGTGAGGAGCACACGCCTTCCATTTAGTTGGAGAACGTGAACCATGGTTGCTACTTCCTACTCACTGACTGCTACTGCTACCTGCCTGAAGAATTGTCTTTGGCTCTTTGTAAACCTGCAGCCAGAAAGATACTTGAATTTTCCCCCTCTACCACTTGCAAATCCGATTTTTATGTATAGCTAAGTGCTGTTAGCTTTTACTCTATGTACTACTGGGGCCTGGTTTCTAGCAGGCCTGTAAGCACGCCAGATCTAGCCTATGTAATGCTGTTTGTAATGAGAAATCTAAACAGGGAATGGCAGTGAGGCATGGCAGGAATGTGTTTCCATTGGAGAAGTCAGTGTAGAGAAAAAATATAAGCAAAGCTATGTCCAGAAGGCCTTTTCAGCTGGCCAAGACGGAAGACTAATGTTATTGTACATAGGCTGTTACCCTGCCAGCCCTTCCTCACAAATTTGCTTTCTTTCTCTTCCCCTCTCTTCCACTCCCCTCCCCCCTCCTTCCTTCTTTCATCTACTCCTTCTCCTTCTCTTTCTCCCTCTCTTTCTGCGGGCTCTGCTGACTGTTTGCTCAGGTGGACAGTGACACCATTTGGAACGAGCTGCACTCGTCCGGTGCTGCACGCATGGCTGTTGGCTGTGTCATCGAGCTGGCTTCCAAAGTGGCCTCAGGAGAGCTGAAGGTGAGGTCTGGGTTGCATTAAGTGTGGGAAACCCAGAGAAGAAGCTGAAACAGAGATGTTGTTGTTTGGGAATTGTGGGGAGTGCGGTGTGGTAATAAAAGGAAAGGGGTGGTGGGAAGAGGGCAGGGAAATGGCCACTAAGGTGCGATAATCACCAGTCTGTAGGTAGGCAGTGGCTGGTCCTGCTCAAAGGGCCTTCCTCTCCTCGGGGGGACTCTGCGGTCAGGGCACACGGGTGTGTTTTTAAGAGTACAGAAATGGCGAGTCACAGCTATGGTCCAGGTTAAAAATACCCAGTACATACATAACTGTCATGCCCTCCTGGGATTCCGTTTTGAAGCGATTTAAAAAATATGATTACTGAGTACTATGTATAAGCTCAGAATACCACCCAGAGAGAAGGGGGGATGGGGGAGAAAGGTAAATACCAGACGGGAAGGATTGGGAGGAAGAAGGAAATTGTTGATTAGAAGGGTAATGATCCAGAGTATGTTTTTCCACGAAAGAACTTCAAAAATGAGCTACGCTTTATTGTTCTTTTCTTTTTATGGTCTCTTCTTTTCTACATCACATGAAAAGAACAATGTCGAAATCCAAAGTTTCCCAGTCTAAACAATTTATAAAAGCCAGAGACCTGATAGACGATGACATTTTATTTGATATTTTAACAGTGCTATTTAAAGGTATGCCATGTGCATCTTGAATATATTTGCCCAGTAAACATCGCTGGTGCTAACATTTTTAGAGCACTGGTTTACACACTTCATAACAACATCTGGGTGGTTATTGATTTGATATTTTTAGCAGTTGTGGGGCTTAAGGGAAATATACTGTGATCAATAACATAGACACTGTGAGTTTTGTTAATCTAAAATAGAGTCTAATTAGGATTATTTTTCTTTATGTCTGATGAATCTTTATTCAGCTACACCTGACTGTTCTACTTGTGATTAAACATGCAGGTTAAGAACGTGTGCTTCATAATGTATTGTCTATCCCAGAAGTCTTTGCTCTAATTCGTTAAGAAGTCAGAATCTACAGAAATATAATTTGGATAAGGTGGACTATATATATAAAATATATATGCATATACAGAGGGTGCCAAAAAATGGATTCATACCAGGGGTGCCAAAAAAGTGCATACAAGTGGACACTGGTCAATGTCGCTCAAGCAGTAGTTCGCCATAATCAGAAGTGTCTGGACGCTGATGGTAACCACTTTGAGCACCTTTTGTAATTGCAGAAATCAAATATGACTTGTATTCATCTTTCGTTATTGGTATATATTGAGTATTGCAATTTTAATACAGTTTTTTCCTTTCTTAAAATATAGAGGGTGCCAAAAGAAGTATACACATTTTAAGAAAGGAAAACTATTAAAATTGTAATAATATATACCGATAACAAAAGATGAATACAAGTCATGTGTATATATATTTTTGGCGTTGCTGACGTATGTCTTATGTGCAGTTGTCATGATTAGCATCAGGACATTAATTACTCATCTTAGGGAATTTACAGGACCATTAATGTGGTGTTTACTACTCAGTCTTTACCTTTGGTAATGAGCTATTGAAAAGAGAAAAGGACTCAGCCTTATGGAGAGGTTTTGGCTGCCTCCCTGTAGCACCTTAGCAATATTTTTTTCTGTTGGAGTATGTCACTTGTAGCACTGGAATGAATTGACTTTTTAAAAAAATAATATTTGAGGGTCTCATTTTCAAGAGAATTCAAATGACAGACAACAGCCAGGCCACAGCTTTGTAGTTTTAAAAAAATTGTGCCGGCATCAACTCACTTCATAACCAAAAAAAAAAAAAAATGACGTTAGCATTAATAATTTCTAATGTTTTTGGTTTTGTGGAAGTTCAATCAGTAATTCAGAAATCTTCTCAAGTAGGATGTCCACATATTACTCCAAATCATTGTTATTAGCCTCACAGGATGTAGAATTGCCAAATGTATGTATGAAGAGTGTTGAACAAAAACCTAATCTGGTGTTTAGGAGGTAGTCATTTAAAATCGTCAATTACAAACAAAGTGTCAACAACATAGAGTATGGACATGCTGATCAGCAGCTGTACCAACATTGGCTATTTATGTTAAGAACAGGAATCATGCAAAAGCTTTTTTCCCCCTTTGTTGAGAAATCAGCAGTATGGTTGGTTAAAAAGGAAGAGAAGAATAGAGAAAAAGAGCCAGCTTAAGAGTCAAGAAGTCGAGTCCAGGCTCTGCCACTTAAGTTCTATGTCACTTGTGGCAAATCACTTAACTTCCCTGGGCCCCAGTTTCTTGTTCTGCATGATCAGCAGGAATGAATTGATCATGTTAAAAGTCAAGCATGGTGCTGACATTCTGAGTTATTTGAAAATGAAAAGTGGACTTGATTCTCAGTTATACACAATATGGCATACCACACAGTAGATATTCCAAAACTAATTTCAACTTACTTTGGTGAGTATTCCAGATTTTGCAGCTGGTTTATCTTTCCTATTGTTAAGCCCAAAGTAACAGTCCAAAACAGGCAAGATCTCAACAAAGACACCCATGCTGACAGGCCAAGAGACTGAACCCTTCAGTTGCTAATAATTTGAAGAGACCCATGGGAATGCCATTTGGGAAAGGTAGCAATTACAAATGATTTGTGGTCACAGTGAAGAACTGAGGTATAGAGCCATGTTTAGGGACCTCTGGCTAACCAAAAATATTACTCAGTGTCTGCCTGTCCCAGACTCCAGTATAACCTGTTGGCCAGGAGCATTAACACTCATAGCTGTGGAGTCACTTCATTCAGATCTAGGAAGAAAATAGAGAAGCTTATTTGAGGACATTGGTAAGTTATTCTCTAATAAGAAATGTAAAATGAGAAAATGTTAGTGTCTCATTTAGCATGTTCTGCATCTACATTCAGTTCTCACGTGTTCTACCCCATTCTACTGGTAAATCAATAACTTAATAAAACAACATTGTCATATTATAATACTGCATCTTGTGATGTTATACTAATTTTGCTTGGAAAATAGAGAATTAAGAGCTTTCTTTCAAATAGGGTGGCTTGGATGGAATGCTAAACGGAGACATGAGACATAGGTCATGGAGGGAGGCCACAGAACTCATAGAGGGTGCGGATCTAGGACATAAGAAATGGGAACAAAAAAGGAAAATACCAAAGACAAATTTGATTACCTAGAATTTTTGCTTGATGCTGAACTTGATCATGACCACTTCCCTAACTTTTGACTTTTCTTCATCTCAGGATACTGATGGACTGAAGGAATTAGAATGAACCAGGCACAGGGAGTGAATCTCATGATGATGCTTAAGTACTTAGGTAGACCCTGTGAGGCAAACTATGACACTAATTGGTGTCTTTCTGGTACAGACTTGACATGCTCATTGGAGCTCAGTGAAAATTATGGGGGTTTTCAAGTTTTCTAGGTTTGTAACAAGGTATTTTTTAAAACCCACACAAGTAGAAATTTCTCTAATATACAGCTGCCCAAATGGGCTATTTCTCAGATTCTATTTCTAAGGAATACAAATATTCTGAAAATGCTGAAATGTTTCATGTACTGGAAACCATAATTGGAAAATAGTTATCTCAAAATGGTTTTATTATTCTACAGTACCTTTTTAAAAGTATGTCTAGAAATAGAAATATCACCAAAAGACAAACATTCTTTGTAAGTTATAAATGGTTCAATAGTTGGTTCAAAAGATGTTGCAAAATACGTTGTACACTTTAAATACATACAAGTTTTATTTGTCAATCATACCTAATAAAGCTGGAAAAAATGATTCAGTACTTATCAAGCTTTACTATAAGGATTAATTTTGATGCCGGTTTTTTTGGCAATGCTATAATATCATCATACAAAACTAAAACTTGCTTTAGCTCTCTGGGAGTTTTTGTCAGAAAACACCTGATTACCTGAACATGGATGAAACTTTTAATGTTTGAGTGGCCATTGTGATGTCATGTTGCTGATAATATCTACTATTCATTGAGTACCTCTTATAAACTGGTAAGTTTATTTGTAATTTACCATTATTCTCACAATGGCCTTTGAAGTAAGTACCACCAATAGGATACAAGCTCAGAGACATCAAGTAACTTTTTAAGATCCTGCACATGGTTTAAGAAATGGCAAAGCTGTACAGGAAACCCAGACATTTTCTTAAAGAGCCTATGAAAAGACTCACTTGCTTATAGGCTCTCACTCTGGGCTCTGATGGAGGGACAGTGATGTGGGGGGCATTGGAGACATACAGGGAGACACTAAGTTGTGTGGCTTCAGAGCAAGGACTGGAGGGACAGCTGCCATTTTCCCTATGTGGGGTCCCTTTCCTGTGCAGCTGGCAGGCAAGTGCCATCTTTTCTGTGTTGAGCCTCCCTGCCATGCCCATGGCCAAATTGGAATCTGAATTGGTCTGGTGAGCCTGGTCACTTCACCATGGTGACTCCCTGAGACCCTGCCACACCTAACTCCTTACCACAAGAGGCTTATCAGTGGCTGAACCTTGTGGGAGCCAGCAGGTAACAGCAGGCCTCGGACTGTCTTGTCTTTTTGTGGAGCTCCCCCAGACCTGGAACTGGTGGCAGCCTTCCTCAGTTCATAGTGTGGCCTCTCCTGTGCACCTCCAGGTCAAGCACAGACAGCAACCAACTGTGGATCGCTTTGTAGCTCCTACCAGGTAGCCCCTGGCCAGTCGTAGGCAGTGGCTGACCTTGGCCTGCACCGGAGCTCTTACCAGGAAACCCAGAAATTATATACCTGGAGATTGGCTTCAGACCACAGCAGAGTACCACCCAATTAGCCCCACAAGTGGCACACCTAAAGGGTGGTCTCAACAGGCACCAGAGCCAGCTGAGGTGAATCCTGCTCCATGGGGTAAGCCCCCTACTCAGCAGCCTATAAGCTGTAGATATGTCCAAACCCCACAGCCAGTCAGCCTGAGGGTCAATTTCATCCGATGACGAGCCAATAGCAATCAAGGCT